TGAGTGAGACACATGCTAGCAGAAACTGGCGTGGAAGCAGCTTATCCAGGGACCACAAGTATTGGGTTATCAACAGTTTTGGCTGGTTTTGTTCAGTACTGATGAGGTACCAGGCTTCTTTGCTCCAGCTTTTCCAGTCCCGTCTCCTCTTTCCATTTACATCATCCAGCCTTGAGCATGTTGAGGAAGGTCATCCCTGCCTTGAATCCTCTGCAGCAGCAACCACTTCTCTGTCCTTCATCTCTCTGTTCAGGGAATTCTCTCTCAGCAAGCACTTAGAGGTGAAAGAAGAGTCATGGCACTAGTGTTATGCTGTAGTCCCTGTTCATTGTATTTGCTGGTTCTTTCTTTACTGTGTTTATCTCTTCAGCCACTTAAATTCTGAACTTCATAGCAGGGCCCGTGTGTTGTGTTATGCAGAGCCTGGCACATTTTGTTCCTTGTTCTCTACTGGAATAAATGCAATTAATATATTGATAATCACACACGCACACGTTTGTTTTTTTCAAATCATTGCCCTCTCTTTTCCAGAATCTACTGAGTACCTCCATCTTTTTACAAGAGCCCTTTTGTAAAAGGGGCTGTAGTTGGGACTTTAGCTTGGGCGAAGGGCTGTTTTGTCATAGAAATAATGTAGCTTGGCAAAAATACGCATGTATGTTAACATTCAGTGTATTGACGTGCAGGTTTAGTTATTTTGCAGGACAAAGCCTTCATAGGGTGCTTATGGAAACTGCATTTGTGATTTCCTTAGCAGCAACAACACTAGATACAGCTTTTTTTACATGAATAAAGGATTCCAGTCTTGTTCTTCATGAAACAGCATTAACTGTGTTTGTACAGGTCCTAGCACAATTAGCTTTTGGGCTGTGGCATGGTTTCCTGGCAGCAAATAAATGTCTTTTTCACATTAAAACTAGAGTCTTTATTCAGTGAAATAACACCCTTCGACTCTTGCTCGTGGGCTGCCTTGTGCCTGGGAAGGGAGGAGGTCTGTGCAGGTTTTTTTGGTTGGTTGGTTTGCTCTTCACTCCAGCTTGTTCCTCAGTGAGAGTCATAGCTGTGTGTTTGTAAGGTCACAAACTCAAAAGACTGTACAGAGTTCATGTCCTCACCTAGAAAATACCTAAGAGCTGCAGCAAAATGTTTGCCTGCTGATAAGAGGTGCCCGTGGTTAAAATCAGCATCTTTAAGATGGTCTTTGCAGTGAATGCATTGATTTTGTTAAGCATATGTGCAGCCCAAATCTACATATTCATCCAAAGCTCTTTCTCATTTGAATGTCATATTTAATTTCTTCAAGCTTAATTATGTTCTGCTTTTCAAAAAAAAAAAAAAGTATTTTATTCATTACCTAGAAATGCAGAGTGTCTAGCATGGAAGTGCTAAGTATTCAAAATCAAAGCCAAATATTAGAGCCAGCAGACAGAAGCGTATTAAGAAATTAAATCAGTTTTAAGCTTTTTTCCTCACTCTGATCTGTCATAGAAGGAGGAAAGCTTTGATTAACATCTGACTGTGTCTCACAAGCAAATTGCCAGACATTGCTCAATGGTCATGGTACAGAAGGACCAGAGGATTTAGAAAAAAATGCAGCTTCCCAGTAGGTCACTGACAGAATAAGAAAGCTGGAGCAAAAAGTGCAGTTCATGGGCATGGATGGTTGTGAAGAGGCTCCCAGTTTACTCTTACAATACAGGGGGAGAAGTTTAATCTTGCATTCTTCGGACTGAAGAAGAATGAAGCTGGGCTTTGTCCTTCAGTGTGGCATGTGCCATGCCTTGCTTAGTGCTCCACACTTTATACCCATTTCCTTTTTTTTTTTTTTTTTTTCTGTATAAGGAACCTGAACAAACTTTATATTACTAAGTGAAAATATGTGAGAGTTGTCGGACCCTTCTGTGGGCTATGCTTGCAACTGAGTAAATACTGGCATATTGTGGCATAAAGCTGTAATAAGCTGTTGGGTTTTTTGTCACCCGAACACCTGGGGAAGAGAGGAAATGGTGTTTCCAAGAACAGGCAGGAGAAGGGCAGTGAGGAGGAGAATGGGCATACACTTGGGAAGAGGTGAATGGGCTATCTCCCAAAAATGACAATACCATTCCCTTGGGAGGAGAATCAAGGTCGTGTGTGTCATGTCATGTCGTGTGTGTCGTGTCGTCTGTGTGTGTGTCCCAAAATCAAAGCCATCACGATTAATGTGCCATTTCCACCTGTTGGTGACTGGTGACAGTGGTGGTAAAGCCATCACGATTTCCACCTGTTGGTGACTGGTGACAGTGGTGGCTGCACTGCCTGTGCTGCTGGGTGGGGGTACGGTGTTTCGGTGAGAGCGTGGGTGTCTGGCCTCAGTGCACAAGGGCTGGGAGGAAGGTCTGAGCAGTGGTGGCAGGGCAGCTAAGACGAGTCAAAGCTGTTCGGAAGAAAATATGTATAAAAGCAAGCGACCCTGAGCAATGTTGAGCAGCAGACAAACTGTATTAAGTCCTCCTTCTTAAATTTTAATCTCGTTTGATGTTGGGTTATTTTCACATCTTTTCAAACTGGTTTGGTCACCGGGTTGCGCTGGCTGCTGTCGGACTGCTGCCTTTGAAGCAGGGAAATAGCTGTGTTGTTGCAGCTTCTTTGCCTTGCATCCACCTGCTTTTGTTTGACA